TGAGCTGTTGTTCAGCATCTTAGCTGTGGAGGGCAGTGTCACTGGCCCTCATATGTGGGATCCGAACTGGGGCCCTCTGTCGTCCCAAGCCAGTTCTTAACCATCGCGCCACTCGGCCGGCCCGAGCTTGCACTCTTGAGCAAGCTCTTAACCAACTGAACCACTCGGCTGGCCCTGCATTTATTTTTTTGAATGCATTTTTTATGAAATGTTTTATGGAAAATTTTAATGTGTGTATAATTGTGCCCATATACCCATCTCTTGGCCTATTTTATTTTGTCTACACTCCCTCATATTATTTTGAAGCCAATCTCAGATATCACATCATTTCATCTCTAAATACTTTAGTATGTATCTCTGAAAGAGGACTTTTTCATTTAATATAACCAGGATACTGTTATCATACCTTTAAAAATGAACAGATTTGTTAATGTCATTAAATAAGAGTAAATGAATTCTTATTTTTGGGTTTCCCCAGAATCTCCCCTTTTTCTGTACAATCCTTGTACACCTGGAAGGCTCAGTGACAGATTGGGGGTAGTTAAGTGTGATGCTCTCTCCATGTTATTGAATTGTCAACATACTGAATGCCAGAATGCTTGTAAGAAGGGTTCTTGTTCTTTTGAAATTGCACAGTAAAATCCTCCTCATGAATTTTTGAACATTTGTAAATGAGGATTGTCGTGTCTTCCATCCTTTCCAGTCTAGTTCTCTTTTCAGCTCCTTAACCAACCTTTATTTCCAAGCTGTCCCATCTATGTCTTGGAAAGAAGAGTTGATAGTGCCCAGTACCTGATAAATTCCTTTATCATTCCAGTTACCATGGTTCAGTCTGTGGATGACACATAACTGAAAATGTTGAGGTTTCCAGTTCCTTTCTTTGATCTTGTATATACGTTTACTTTTATTTCCATTACCAGTTTCTTCTGCTCTGGGGCTGTTTATTCTTTCCAGCCAAACCAGCCAGCCCTCTCTGGGATTCTCTTTTCTCTGATGACCTAGTGTCCCAGACCCCAGTGCTGAATGCTTTCACTGTTTTGTAACTAGTGTGGCATACCATTCTGTTTTGGCTCCATTTTTACAGGGGAAAGAAGGAAAGGCAGCATATAAAAGATACTGAGATCACTGGAGACAAACTTGGGCCGCCTTTGTCCAAGATCATCTCATTTTCCAGACTAGTTTGTCAAAAGAAAAAAAGATAGCACATGAAAAGTTGGAGGACTGAATTGGGCAAGCATGGGGCTATTAAACAAGTGGTAGAGATGACATTGCTGTAGTGTTTCAGAGTTGGGAAGAGATCACCAAAATGGAATAACTAGGGAAATTGGCAGCTTAGTTTGGGAAATTTCAAATGCTAGTGTTCACATGTTCTTAAGAAATTGAAGCGAATTATCTCTTACCCAACTGTGAATATAAAAAAAAAAAAACCTAAAGGATTTTTGTTTGGACTAACTGTTGTGTACAGTAGAAGAATGAAGCATTAGTAAGATTTTGTGGTATGATACAGAAAATAGTGTTGTCCATGTAATTCAGTAAGCATTAAACAATTGCCTAGTATTTGCCTGATCCTATGGAGATTATAAAGATGAAAAAACTTGGATCCTCTCCTTTTAAACTTATAGGAAGACAAGACATGGAAAACTGTTACAGAAAACATTAATTTATTTAACAAGCATATTGAATATCTTCTAAGTTCTAGGCACTGTGCTTGACTAGAAATACAAAGAAGAGTAAGGCATACCAATAGGAACTCAATCTGCTGGGAGATACAGATATACAAATGTGGTTATAAAAGATAATAGCAGTATGGGAACCTTTAGGAAAGTGGTCAGGTACATAATTTTGAAAGGGGAGTAGGATAGGAAAGAGCATTCCAAGCAGAGGGATAAGTATGTACAGAGATAGTGGAGATATGGTAGAGGGTACCATTTTCAAGGAATTGTAGATAGTTCAAATGGCTGTAGCAAAGGATATTATTAGCAAGAGAGACAGAGAATAAGGCTGAATTGCTAGGCAGGGTCCTGCACATGAAAGACCAGTGTCTTTTAAGCTCAGGAGTTTGAGCTTAACTCTGAAGATCCTGGGCAAATATGATTGCGTTTTAGAGCCTTGTTTTTGGTGGTAGTTTGGAGAATTAATTGACGAGAGCAAGACTTATATCTGTTTTTGCTATTGCAGTAATGTTAATGAGCAAGAATGAGTGCTTGAACTAAGGCAGTGGAATGGAGAGAATGGGATAGACTAGAGAGCCACTAAGAGATAGAATTGTCAGAATGATGAATGATTAAGTGTGAGATTTAAGAGAGGAAGAGTAGCCAAAGATGATCTCCAAGCTTCTTTTGTAAGCAGTTGAGTGTATGGTAGCCATTTATTGTAACTAGGAATCCAGGAGGAACTGTAGTTTTTGTTTTTGTTTGTTTGTTTGTGTTTTAAATTTTGGTTTTCAGGAAAAGAAGTTAAAACTAACAGGAGTTAGAATTCATTCGGTTTTGAACTTACATTGAGGTACCCCCCATGGGCATCCAAAGTGGAGATATTTAAGCACTTGGATAAATGAGTGTGAAACTCAGAAAAATTCTCAGGTTGGAGAGAATGATTGTTAGTACAGACGTACCTTGGAGCTATTGCCAGTTTGGTTCCAGACCACTGCAATAAAGTGACTTGTAATCTTTTTTGCTGGCGAAGGGTCTTGCCTTTAATTTGTAAAAAACCTGCAACGTCTGTGAAGCTCAATAAAGCAAAGCTCAATAAAGCAAAGCTCAATAAAGGGAGGTATGCCTGTATCTTAAAGGTAGCTGGAATCATGGCTCACCCAGAAAGACAGAAAAATCAGAGGATTCAAGACCTGGAACCTAGAGGAGCACCAGCATTAAAGGAAATTGCCAAGATGAGAGAATGGAATCTTGGAGGCTAAGGTGGAGAATTTTCAAGGAAGGAAAGTCATCAAGGAAGAAATGTCTGTTATAGAGAGTTAAAGATGAGATTTGAAATTGTTCATTGGATTTAGCAATAAGCAGTTGAACTGGTAACCTTGGTGAGAGCAGTGTCAAGTGGAGTGGTGAGGGCTAAATCAGATTACAGATTACAGATTGAAAGTGGAGATATCAAATGCTGAGTACTCTTGTAAGAAGTTTGACGAAAAACATGAGGACAACAGCTAGAGAAGATGATCAAGGAGGAGTATTTTAAAATTGAGAATAAATGCTATAACAGATATGAATAAATTGCAAATAAAAGCATTAAAGAAAAACATTAATCCAATTTGGAAGGTTGAGGGCTGCTGTGGTTCCTAGAAAAGTTTAAGTACTGGACTTCAGGTGATGTGTGGGAAGGATATCCATGAGATGAAAGGCTGAGGGAGGATATATATTCCATGTATAGAAATAGACCCCAAAGGGCAGAATGTGGAAAAATGCTGGTAGGCATATACCAGGAACGATGCCTAGTCCAATTTAACCAAATCTTGAGTTTGTAAAGAAAGTGGTGAGAGAAAAATGAGAATTGAGCTTGGAAATGGAGGGACTCGAAGCGGCATTTGGCTCTAGGCTTTAAAGTACTGGAAGTTAATGCTTTTTGCTTGGGGGTGAGTTTTACAATTAGAGAAGCTGTGCTGTAGAGAGTTCTGAAGCTGTGTGGAAGATGAATTGGATGAGGGGGAAAGAACTCTTGTCGGGAGTAGGCTCTAATGCCATCCTTTCTAGGAAACATTGGTGCAAAATCACACCCATTGTGCTGATGTATTGCTGCTGGGATTGGGGGGGTGGTTCTCCTTTGTGCTAACTCATAAGCTTCTTGACTAACACCCCTTTTGCCAGTTAAAGAGAACTCAGAGCTTTGGTGCTTTTTATTGCCCTTCACTGCATGGAATAAGCTGTCCTTGCTCTCTAGATACTTAAAGGAAGAAGCAACTGTTTACTATGAATTTAAGTTAATAGAAATGCAGTGGTAAGACTATATTTGAAGAGTCTTCTAGTTTTCAGGTGAAATACTGTCTAAAGAAGGCTAATTTTGTGTGCTGCCATAATATGCTGTAGTCAGCAAATGTTTAAAGGATTGCGGAATGAAAAACGGGCAAGGATTCACACTAACAAAGCCAATTCTGTTATCTAAGCATTTCCTTAGACGCTAGCCTGTATCTTCATGTTAAAAGCTAGTTCTAGTTTAATAGGTTCTGTTAAATTCTGAATGTTAGAGAGTTTATTAGTTTTAAGTTACTGGCACAAGATACACAGGTAGTGGCCCCGTTATTTCACTTGTAAAATACAGTATGGTTGGTTATATTCTTATCAAGTGTGGATTAACAGTTTGAAATTGTTACGAGTAATAGAGTATATATATTTAAGTAAGTGGGTAATTTGGTGGCCAAACTAACGTGTAGCACATGCTTTTATCACACTATTGAGTGAAATTTTCCATGTTATCTCCTTTACTTTTACTTCACAGTGAAGTGTGTTAACTTCATTTTCTTTTCATTAGCTCTTCATTTGAAATTATTTTAACCCTCTTTTCTTCTGTCTTTCAAATTTTTTTCCTCTTTTCCTACTTAGCCTGTTTGTACTTTTTTTTCTTATTCCAGTTCAAGTCCCCTAATTTTCTTCAGCCAAGTCTAATCTAAAATTGGATATAACGCTCCGATAGTCTAAAATAATAGATGGTATAAACTGATTTGTTTCAGCTCTGGTGTACAGTAGGTCAGTACTTTGCTATTTGATTTTTTCCTAAATAGACTTTGCTTATGCTAATATGATTAATTTACATTTCTTAGTACAGTTTTGTAATTGGAGTAGTTAACATTCTCTGGATAAGCTGTGAGAAGATAATCTTGTCACAATGTTTGGTTAAGAATTTGAAAAGAAAGCTTTCCAGGTTGTTGGTCTGCACCACTTGGTAACTTGTTAGAAATGCAAATTATAAGCCCTACCTCAGATCCCAGGCCTACAGAATAAACTGGGTGTGGGGCCCAGTCCTTCAGGTGATTCTGATGCACAGTGAAGTTTTAGAACCATTATGTGTAGGATGATAGTCTAGTATAAAAGAGACCCCTTTCTTGATTTCTAGTGAACTGGTATTTGGGCCAGTAATTGACTTAGGACCTTTTTTTGTGTAATTGGGTGGCAGAGAAAATAAATACTCTTTGTAGTCTCACATGCAGATTTTGTACCCTGAACTAAAGTAATGGGTAATCATAAATGAGTAATGAAAATTGCATATAGGAACTTTTATCTTTAAATGTACTTTTCTTTTAGGAGGCAAAACCTTCAACTGAGGACTTGGGGGATAAGAAGGAAGGAGAATACATTAAACTCAAAGTCATTGGACAGGTGAGTTTCATTATTTTTCTCTCTTGGCTCTCCTTGAATGTGTGAATAATTTCTGGCACACAGGAAAGATGATGTAAGTAAGGCAAGTTATTTAAAAATGGCGTTTTCATTTACTAGACATGGCATCTGTTGGAGGTTGTAGAGGCTGATAACTTTTTAAATTAATTTTTTAGGGAGATCTAGACACCCTAATTTCTCCAACTAAAACCTTTTTTTTTTGGTTACTATGCTTCAATGGCAAACACAGTGAATACTATTGAGTGATAAGGCTTGGGCCCATTTTAAACAACAGTACCTCTCAGCTTTTTTCGGGACCATTTTCTGTTTCCTGGCACCTCATTTTTCCAGACTCTGGCCTTTATCTTAAGGATCCTTTTTGAGATGTTAACTGATAATTAAGATTAGCTGAAAATTGTTAGAAGAATGAATCTTCATAGTTGTTTTTTTTTTTAAGGACAAAAGACAAAATTGGTGGACTCTGACCATCAAACTGTGAGAGTACAAGTCCCCACATTCTCCGCAACATGAGATATTGCTAGTTCTTCAATTTTGTGCTAGTATGATAGGAAAAAAATTTTTGGTTTTGCATTTCTCTGATTATCAGTGAAGAGTAATTTCTGTCTACAATGTTTACATTCTTCTATTGATTATGAGTTCATATTCTTTTCTCATTTTCTGTAATTATCTTATATAGAAATTTTTTATCAAGATATAATTCACATACTATAAAATTCACCATTTTAAAGTGTATAATTCAGTGGCTTTAGTATTTTCACAAGCTGTTCACCCATTAGCAGTATTTAATTCCCTTGCATATTCATCACCCCAAAAAGACATGTACTCAGTAGTAAGTCCCCATCCTCCCCTCCCCCCCAGCACTGTTCCCATCCCCCCAATTCCCCAATAAAAATCTTTAAAAAAAAAAAAAGCTTTTTTGTAATGTTAGCCCTTTATTCACCTGGAAGTGATTTTAGTGTATGGCGTGAGGTATGCTATAGAAATTTGTCCATGAGAATTTGTTTTACTTTATAGCCACAAAAATATTGTAAACATTGAACTTCTAATATACATTTGTGAATGTCATAATGTAATCATAAGGATTGACTGAAATTTTATAGTATGCAAGTGCCAGTATTTATTTCTCATGGTTGCCTGATAGTTTGCTTGATAGCCTGGGTAGAAGAAAAGAATCTGTGGTCCCACAAGTCATTTTTGACTGACATTTTACTCATGTGCGAAAAACCAGACTCTGGGGGGTGACTTTTTATGGCAGGAATAAGGTCTCAGTTTATTATTTTGTGGCATATGTCTCACTTGTAGTTTGACCACCTTTAAGTGACACTTCAGTTGGGGGAGAGGTACTTTTTGTTTTGAGTTGCTTTTGGTGGGGGTTTGTGATAATTCAGCTTTTATTTCAAAAATAGAATGGATTTGTAATTATGAAGGAATGTATTCTTTTTTTTTTTTTTTTTAAAGATTTTATTGGGGAAT